ACGGCTAGCGTAACGCTTCAGTGATTTAAGTCACACCGTACTTCACCCAGACCCAGCTATCCCCTACTTTGTCCTGTTTCCATCTCCCACGGCGTGGCCGAGGGGTTGGACCAGGGGTTGGACCAGGGGTTACCCTGGTAACAGAAAAAAAATGTGATTCTTTCTTGAGTAAAGAGAAGGATGTTGTGGAAACAATAACTTCAATAACAGCTACTTAACAGCAAAACAGACAGACAAAAATAACAGAAAGAAAGAAAGGAAGCAGAACTTACCAGTTGCACCCTCCAACAACCTGCACCACAAAGAAATTTTGAAAAGCAATAAATAAAGCACAATACTATATATCTATTTAAAATATTATGTTTATTTCAGGTTTCAGCTCCTGCTCAGAGTTTCTATGGCAAACTGAAACACAAGCAAACATATAATGTGTACAAACCCAAAAATACACACATGCAGGTAAGCATTGATACACAGATGCATGAGTACATACGTGCCCACACGCATGCACACACACGCACGCACACACACACACACACACACACACACACACACACACACAAACACACACTCACATACACACACTCCCACGCATTCACAAATACCCCAAAACACACAATCATCTCAACTTCCTCTCTCCAACCCATTACCTGTTATCATTTTATTTTTTCTTTCCTGCTGACAAAAACACACCTGGGTGAAATGAGGTAAATCTGGGTAAAGTGCATTTCCCAAGGACACAATGTCACGCCTGAGGCTCGAACCCCCGAACCAGCAACCTCAAGATTACAAGTCCGTAAGCCTAACCACTAGACTACCGACACCCCAATAATAATAATAACAAAACAGTAGACCAAGAGAACAATACACAACATATTGAAGCTCAAGGTGCCCAGTCACATTTAAAAATATCACAGACTTATTTTGTTCTTTTCTAAGTTGAACAACAAACTTTCAATAAAGGCAAAAAAAAATAAGTTTCAAAAGAAGAACTGAACTGAAAAGTACAGTAAAAAAGAAATTGGGCTCTTAAGGAAAGAAGGTATCAAACTTTTAAAACAGAATAAATGGACATTCAATAAAATAGGAATTAACTCTCTTTCAAGAAAAGAGGAATTGAACTTTCTATTAAAGATGGATATTGAACATTGTTAAACTATAGCCATTACTTGCTATATGGCGTACTCTGCTGAAATAAATTTTTCAATACACATAGTACAAGCAAAGTGTGTAACATATGAATGATGATACAGTATACAGGGTTCACCAAACTTTTTTCAAAGTACCCCATTAGGCTGGATAATTGAGGGGATGCCAAGCTCTGGCCAGATAGAGAATTTGTTCAACACAACACACTGATGATTTGATGACAGATTTATCATATTAAAGCCAAGCAAGAATGTGATGCCTTAGCTAGAAGTTATGACGTTTGTAAACAGCACATTTAATTTGCATTGTAGAATTCAATTAAATTTAAACATTTGGAGGACACAAGGTTCTGAGAATGCTTAAAACACATCTTCCAAACTGTTTGTCCCAAATAATGGCATGGTGACATTAGTGGCATGATGACAAGCCAGACCCACTGACCTCAAGCGCCGGACATGATCAACAGACCGTAGTTTGATGACCCCTGAGCTAGCTCATCCTTATTTCTTAAGGGGCCTTTCTATTATAATGCAGAGTATATATGGGAGGGAAACAGATCCTACGGAAATGCAGTAACTGCTCTATGATTACATCCCTTTGCCAGCAAATACAGGATGTTGATTTTACCACAAACACAGCCTTAGTATCAATGGTGTAGTGATTAAGCTCTTTGCCACAGCACCCAGAAAACTTAAGTTCAATTCCTGTTTAGGAATAATTTCTTTCCTGTATTACGATCTTCCTGGGTTGGCAATAAATAGCAAGGTAGAAGCCCCCCTCCTACATGATCTAAACTTGTGTTGATGGGAGCATAAATCACAACCTACATTAAATATAAAACAGAAAAAAACTGAAATATAACACAGTGGTGGAAGTTTATCTCTGCTTATCTTCCACATTCTGTGGCTCTGACTGTGCTGTCTCTCTTTTCATAAAACAAGATAAGATAAAGTAAGTAAAGTACATCTTTATGGTCCAGAAGCTGGCACATTGGTTTGGTGTCTCACACCACACACACACACACACACACACATACGCACACACACACACACACACACACACACACACATACACACACACACACACACACACACACACATGCACACGCATGCACACACACACATGCACACTCATGCACACACACACACACTCATATGCTTGCATGCCATCCACAAACTCTCACACACAGACACACACACACACATTCTCTCATCAAACTTGCACACATATCATTATAAAGTAAGTTAAAACAAATACACAGTACACTGTTGCAATAACTAATCTACGGTTGCATCCCTTGGCCGCCACATGTGGACAGAGCGACAAGTTCATAACAAAAAATTCTTCATCTGATCTTTTCTAGGAATTAGACATTGCTTGTGAGTGGAAGGCAGGTGCTCTTGCGTGGTTTGCTCCTTCTTTCCTATAATTTAATCTATCACCATTATTTCTCCTCCTTTTTTGGGTGCATTTTTTGCTCTATTGTAGCATCTCTAATCTTTGGAACTTTTATGACCTAAAAGTGTTGCAGGTGCCGTAAAATGCTTACTTAAATAAAAAATGTTGCTTTCCGGACCTTTGTGCAATAAAATACCACAAGCATAGTGGAGGAATCCCAACTCATCATTCACATACTGTAGGTCCTACAGTGCTGACTTTCTGTTGACAAAATCACGCCGAGGCCAGTTTCTCGATGACTTTCTTGAAGGTGTTGGGGTCCTGGGCGCCGGAGAAAGCAGGCTTCCCATTGATGATGAAGTACGGGACGCCTGGAGGGAGACAAGACATATGAAGGTAGTTGTGAGGTGTGCTGACAAAATGAGTTATTTCTCACAGTACGTGAATGGCGATATCTGACGAAAATTGACACGTGTCAAATATGTAGATTTTTCAACTTATGCCATACTCTTCAAATTTAACATACATGTCCTTGATTATTTCATATGGTGTGCAAACTCGACCTAAAAATTATATGCTGATATCTTGTCTTGTCTGATGTAGCAAGCTTATAGACCAGCATGAGCCGTTGTATTCAACATGCTCAAAAGTGGAAGGTTGACAACAAGCAGAACAAGAAAGAGGAAAAGACAAAATTATTACTGTGTAACACCAAAATGAAGTTTGACCTCAATAGTACATTCACATCATTTACCATAAGTTGCACAAATATTTAAAATACACAAATAAAAATATGTATATGTTCATGTTTACAATACATAACAAATGACCCGACAGAGACGGACTTCAAGACAAAAGAAAAGACTTTAAGCAAGTCCAATCGCGGCTCTTCGACAGGAAAAAAAAATCAGGGAGCTCTGATTTTATTACATTAATTGGCAGGGTCTTCAAAAGGACTCCAAAAAACCTGCACATGTTGCAGAACCAGGCAAAAAGTTTCAAAGTCCACTAAATCTTACCATGCACTCCATTCTGGGACCAGTTCTGAGCCTGTCTCCTGATGCTAGCAGAATTGCTCGGATCGTCCAGGAATTTCTCCACTTCGGCGGTGTCGAACCCAACCTCTGCCGCAATTTCCAAAAGCTGACTCTTGGTCAGAGAGTCTCCGTCTGTGAAGTAGCGCTGGAGAAAACAGAGAGAGAGAGAGACAAAGGGTAAATACCATTTTTTTTTCAGGTAGGTTTTCTTAAACCTCCATCAACACAATTTTAATCATTTAGGAGACAGGCTTCTGAATCTGCCCGTCAGGGCCAACCCTGCTGAAAGGAAATGAACATCCCAGCAGAAAACTGAGATACTCCATAAAAATGTTCTCACTACTCAGATCTTGAACTCCAGTCTGATGACAGTTAAGGGCCTACAGCTACATTACAGACACCAGTAAACAAAGGGTGAGTTAGTTAATCACATGGTAATATAGATCACAAGATGTCATTTTAAATCAACTTGAATATTTTTACAGTACATTTCAACCATTATACTTACGGATTATAGAAATAATTACATACAATTGAAATTGTCTAAGATGACCACCCATTGTCAAGAACAAAAGTGGTTGTCATATACAGGTAGACATCTTACACAGTACATAAAAATGGTTTTTAAAATTCAAATGGGGGAACGAGAAGTGACCATTTGCACAAGTGACTGTCTTGGACAGAGTGTCATTAGAGCAAGTCTGACTGTATTTCTAGAATTAATCTCTCTTTTTTTTTTAAATTAAAAAATCTGACCATCACTGATGCCATAACTTGTCCACAAAATGGAGCACCCCTCTGTGTGTGTGTGTGTGTGTGTATGTGTGTGCGTGTGTGTGTGTGTGTGTGTGTGTATGTGTGTGTGTGTGTGTGTGTGTGTGTGTGTGTGTGTGTGTGTGTGTGTGTGAGTGTGTGTGAGAGAGAATGTGTGTTGTTAAATTATGGTCTCATAATGTACTTTTTCTGGGCTTTTTATTTGTCAGTTGAGTTGAGAGATAATTTTGCTTTGTACAGAACTTTTAAAAACCTTCTTGAGATTAGGCGCTATATAATTTTCCTTTACAATTATCATAATATCAATACCAAATAAACAAATAAACTGACAATGAAAAAAAAACTCAATCGAATATGAACAAATGAACAAAATTTGAACCTTTTTCAGAACAAATTTAAAACCGAAACAAAGCTTATTAGTTTGTAAGTCATCCTCTGCTCATCTCTCTCTCTCTCTCTTTCTCTCTCTTTCTCTCTCTCTCTCCCCCCCCCTCTCTCTCTCCCCTCCCCCCCCCCTCTCTCTCTCCTCTCCCCCTCTCTCTCCCACCCTCTCTACCTCCCTCCTCCCTCCCTCTCTCTCTCTCTCTCTCTCTCTCTCTCTCTCTCTCTCTCTCTCTCTCTCTCTCTCTCTCTCTCTCTCTCTCTCTCTCTCTCTCACACACACACACCCTCTCCCATTCCCTCTCACTCTCGATTTCGATCTCTCTTTCTCTCTCCCTCTCCTTTTCTCCATGCCTCTATTCTTACCTTGAACAATATCTCTGCCACTTCGTTTTGTTTCTCTCCCCCATCCTTATGAGCCGCAAATTCCAGCAGAACGTGGGACTGCACGGTGTTGGGGTAGATGGGTGCCTTGTAGGTGAAGTCAATGCCCACCCCTTCACCAGCACGCTTCAAATGAACAGTCCTGGAAAGGTGGACATTGTGACAATAGAGTAAAACCTTCATATAACGTACTCCCTTCAGCTCCAAGATTTTGAAAGTTTTAGGGAATAACATATTGGCTTAATCTTTTTTAAATGGCAGTAACAGGTAAAGTCACAGAGTAATACTAATTCACTTTATTAATCAATCCCTCCCCTCTCTTCACATGTCCCCTCTGCCCAAATTACAGGGGCTAAAACAGCACCCATGCATAATTGATGGTCGGAAATATGAAAGACAAAGGATCTTGATTTAAACAAACTCTGACAAAATGATATAAAGACACATTTCTTGTATTTAATAGAAGGAGACTAGCTGAAGAGGCTAATTGTAAGGTTTGATTGAAACGTTGATTTTGGAGAGACCCTGGCATTTTTATATCATCAGCCAGTAGTTTACTGCTGAGTTCAAAAGTTTGACAATTTTTTATTGCCATTTTAAATTTGTGGTATATCTCGAATGTGCACAAGATATAATGTTCTATATGTTGAAAAAAAAAAGAAAGGAACTATACATTATATTGGTACAATTTTTTTAAAGAAATGAAACAGTCAGTGCTCTTTCCTGAAAAAATATTGCTTTTTAGGCTTTAAAAAAGTTGAACAGCTTGCTGATGAAGTCCTCTATAAATACTTTCTCCTTAAACACTAAAACAGTGACCAAAGACCTTACCCTGGATCATTCATATCTCCACCAATGGGCTTCTTTTTGGGAACCCCTTCAAGGGGGTGGTCGGGCCGGAGCAGAAAAGGCTCCCATCTCACTTTGAACGAGTACTTTGAGGCAAGGTCATTCATCGCTGACTCCAGCTTTCTCTTGCCGACCCAGCACCACGGGCACATCACATCGCTCACAATGTCCACTTTGACCTCGGGCTTCTGACCAACTGCGTCACCCATAGCGCTAAAAAGTCTCTTCACAGGCTGCAGCCCACAAACTCTGTAAAAGGATGATGTAAATACGTTGGTCTTAACACACATTTACTTAAATATGCTATTTCACTAAATATATATTTTTTTAGTAAGAGTTTTACGGCGCTCGCAACAGCATAAGGTCATGCGCGCGCTAACTAGTTTGATTCTTCTTTCAACAACAAATGTGATCAACAGTTACAGTGATTGTCTTTCTGTGTCAGATTACAAGTGTTTTTATGCATCCGGAAGGATTGTTATCTGTTAATGGGCCAGTATGCGTGAAATGTGTCAATGTCTTAAGTCCTAGCCATAGAATTTTAAAAATTTCGTTTCATTGTCCATTGCCTAGAGCCCCCATGGAATGGACGCTATAAATATACTATAATTCAGTCAACTTTGTTATCATTCTATTATTATTATTGCAATATCGTTATTATAACTATTATTATTATTATCATTATTATTTTTATTACTATTATTATTACTATAGTTCTCATCAAGCATTCGGTAACTCAAAGGAGGATATTTCCTATCACCAAGGAAGAGAGCAGAATGTCGTGACGTCACAGACAACTTCTCTAACATCATAGTCAACCTCCTTCACAACAGGGACCAGTGCCTATCTCCTGAAGGCAATGATAATGGGAAAATAGTCATATGTGTGTTTTAAAAAATATCAGTACAGGAATGATATCTGTTTTAAAAAAAAATCAAATCACCATGAGTTGCCTATATTCTGTAAGCAGTCACCAGATAAGTTTATTTCGACAATGTTTAGATTAGAAAAGATTTATAATTTTTTTTTAAAATACCATCTGAAAAACTCCTGAGTATAGTAATGGTATAACTATCGCTTTTTAGTACTTTTCTTTACTCTCACAATGTACAAAATGTTGCAAACAAACTTTTAATCACTAAAATCCCTTGAAAAGTAAAGGGAAAGGTAAAAAATATGTTTTACGCAGAAGTACTAGGCCTACAATTTAGACATAGCTTTCAAAGAGTTGAAGTACTAAAATTGACTCAGGACTTTTTTAGAGCTCTAGTGAATGTTCGACAGGGAGTATGTTTTAAGCGGAGAAGTTTAAAACAGGTGTTTTACTATACTTCATTCTTTCATATTGATCCATTCCATTTTATTCATAGATCTACATCAAGATCAAAAACATTCTAGAGTGGATTTTATGGAAAAATGTTGATTAAAGGTGCAAAAAATATAAATCTGCAGTTTCCAAAGACTCTTGAGCTATTGAAATCAACTTTTTCTCGCTAATTTTACCTCTGAAACCAGGCAACACCACTCCTTCAATTGTAAATTTAAGTCTCAACTTCAAAATTCAAGATGAATGGTTATTTTTTTAATCAAATGCAAGGTAAATAAATGAACAGCCTTTAAGATGATACCAATAACTCCATATATATGCCCAAAAATTTACCAGAGCCTGATTCTACCGCGTCGAGACACAAATTAATTGCCGAAAACACCGTGACACAAATTAATTGCCGAATGGTCAGCTTGGCCAAACAGTGTGATGGACGCAACATGACAGGTTCATTCACTGAAGGACTAACAATAACGCCAGGTGAGCGAATAACGATGGCTTCGCCATGGCATCAGGGGCTGACATAATATAATAATTTTATCAATCATGACAATGGCCATCATGAACAGGTTTTTGTCAATAATAGAACGCGTATATAGTCATGGCAAGTTTAACTACACAATACTAGAGCACTCAACCTAAATAGGGCCTGTACTTACTTGGTTCTAAGGAAATTCAGTTTGGGCTGTTGTAGAGTAGGCCTACACAGAGCAGAGATGTGGCCTTGAATCCAAGTCCAAAGCCAACAATAACTTCAACAAGCAAATTATGTAGAAACTTCAGAACTTAGGCTGTTCTAAGCGTCTTAGTCTTGGAGTCTCGATCTTGAAACTGTAAACGGAAAGTTTTCATATAGTGAGTTTCTAATTAGGCAGCGGCTACTCGGGACTCGAGTCTGAATAGCCTCCCTTTGCTATTCGGACTCAAACTCAAATGCGTGTACTGGATCTGAAGCGGACCGGCAATTCAACCTTCCCTGGTTTCTACGATCTGGCCCAAATGTTGGACACAAATTAAGAAAAGTATTAGTGACGTCAAAAATGCACAACAGTCGCAAAATCTGAAACACTACACAGCCAAGGCAAACAGGGAAACGGTAATCTGAGCTCAAGGCAGTGAAAAAAAATTGAAAATCGACATTTCAGAGGGGGGGCTCTTGTGGCCAAGAGATTAAGGCCTCTCATTCAAAGGTCCCGGGTTCGAATCAGGGTGGTGACCGAAAAATTTTCTTCTCTAAATTTGCCTCCTTTCATCTCCTTTCCTGCTCTCTAGCATTATTCTGTTGTCTGCTTTCGTCTCCACTTTCTGCCCCCACCCCCCTCACCTCCTTTGCTCCCCTTCTCTGGGCTCTTAACTCTTTCTGCAGCCTTTCTACTGCTACTCCTTGTCTTACTAAGTACTGTCTTTCAGCCACACCCCTGATCTTGTGGAAGGAAAGATCTTCACCGAGGCTTCTCGGACAAGGGCAAAAAGTCTTGTAGGTCTACTGTGCAAGTTACCCATGTAAAGGATCCCTTGGTAGTTTAAAATCGATAAGGCAAAATTTGAAGAAAAAAAAAAAAGGTTTCAGAACAAGGATTGTGGTAGTCTAAACCCGCTTACTTTATTTGACGAGAAAGAAAAAATCCTTCATCAATTGGAAGTCCAGTTCTTCCAAAGAGGACAAAAAGTCAGTTATTCAAAGTAACACGCACTGGAGTTTGAGTCCAAATAGCCATGGGAGTTGTTCTAATAATTGTGAATAACCTATAATAAATATTCAAATTACATTAGACTACAACCTTCCAAGCGAAGTCCTCATGGTTATAACAAGTTAGATTTTTCTAGATCGAGATCTAGTCTAGACTTTAGAGAGAGCAAATCACTCAAACCAAAATTAACTTTTTAAAATTTCACTTTCTTTCGACAGATGATCGCCAACATCTAGAATCTAGATCACGAGAAACTGAGATGAAAAAATTTTGCTGCTAAGACTAATAGTAATACTAGATCTAATAGTACAGTTGACTATGCTTACAGATGTTGTTGGGGGACCAGAGAAAGGATCGCTAGATCCAAAGTTCGCAACAGCCGTTGAAAGAAAAAATCAAAGAAAATAATCCCAATACTCCACCTCACTGTAGAGTTAATATTGGGGCACTTATCATGTAATAAGGTTATCAAAAGTATCATGCGGGAGATTGATCCCTAATAAGAAGGTTATACAGTAGTCTCCGCCTAAGATCCCACCGCTTACGATCCCGGTTCGCTTAAGATCCCGGTTCGCTTAAGATCCCGCTGTTTTAAGAAAACATAATTTTTACTATACAAAAGTAACCCCTAAGACCCCGCTCTGATTCACTCTGAAGGTCTACCTTCGGCTAAGTTCCCGCATTTCAGATCATAATTTGCGGAACAAAAACCCGGGCGGGACAGCCGATCAACCAAGAGTGAAAAGTTGAGATCAATAAACTGTCCGTCGCGTCAAAGATCAACCACTATCGTGAATGTGATTACATACACGTTGTAAAACTCGATGAAGCGATAAATGTTTGCCCAAGACGGGATCACACCGGGGTGTGAACTGACCGACACGTTTGTTTTCCCCGATCATCGCACTCACACCTGAACTCTCCCCCTAAACTTACATCACTCGCTGGGTGGGTAGGGCCTACATGTTCGCTCCAGGCGGGATCACATTGGACTGTGAACTCTTCCCTGACCATTGCAGAAGTTGTCTCTACTCCCAAATTTGCGAGACAGACTAAATTTTAATTGGTGTGTAACGACAAAGGCGGTTTGGTGGGGGGCTCGGTTAGAGATGGAAAGCTATAAATTTTCGACAGTTAAGGGGGAGGGGCAACTGGATAAGCGTAGATCTTGAGACTCATGATAGGATAATAAGTGAAAATGACGCGCCTCATCCCACTATGCACTGTGATAGGCCATCACAAGGTTAACCACTCTTTGCTCGCCATACGTCATAAACCCACCAAGCGGTCACGTCAGTTCATTTTAGAGTGGAGGGAGACCATTTTATCGATTGTGAGCCTTAGCATGGGTCACCATAGATTCTTCCCTGGGTTCGTCAGTTAAGATCCCGGTTCGCCTAAGATCCCGCATTTCCTTGCTCCCGAGCACCGGGATCTTAGGCGGAGACTACTGTACAGTAAGGTTCTTGCTCGCTAAGAGTCTATGCCTTGTGACTGTGTGAATGTGCGTATTACAAAACATCATCAGGTTCATCAATGCTAGGTCAAAACTCCACGAGAGAAACATCGTTAAAACTGTTATAATAAATATCTTTACTATAAACTATATGGGCCCGGGATATGAATACGCATCACTACAGCAGCCGCACTCGGTACAATCCAGGGCTCCCCTTTACCCCTTAAACCTCTACAGATTACCCCCTTAAAGTTTTGGTGGTGCGTGAGCGTTACTCTATAAAATTTCATTTCGGGGGTTTGCATACGCTTTAAAACGTAGGTGGTGTGCGTCTGGCAATCATCATTTTCCCCCTTCTCTACCCCGAAGTCGAGTCAATGATTTAATAACACATCCACACACATGACACCGCAGTCACCTTTTGTCTGTGACTCTGTGTCAGAAGCAGTGGACCAAGAATCTACTTATTACTTATCAGCTGCGCGATGTTTCCGGCGACACCGGCCTGCTTGAGCAAAGAAGCTCCGCCCACATTCTGGTCGCTCGCATTATATTTGCGGTGTCATGCCTTGAGTTTACCCTTGCCGTGAGATTACCCCCATCCTTCTTTAACACACTAGATCTAGTAAACATGAATAGTCCGCCATCGAAAAACTGGGATGGCTCTGAAGAATAATGAATTAAATTAGTTTATTTTCCAAACCTGCCACTCATCCCGAAGTAATAGGGATATCCAGATTTTCCACCCCAAATTTCAAGCATCATGATTTTCCCGATTTTGATCGCGTGTATCCCCATTTTTTTTTTTGTTCCGTCTGTTGTGCCGGATTTTTCTAAAATCTTACTCTGCCTTCTTTTTTTGTAAAGGGAAGCACTCGTTAAACTTTTTGTCAGCAGAAACTCGGAGCACCGGAGCACTATTTTCCAAAATGTCGATGCCGAGTTTAGTAGTTGTGTTGGATCTTTATTGAACACACGTGTTCTTTCAAAAGTACATATGTATAATGGAAGTAGTATTGGTTAGGCATTCCGACTTGGGACATTCTCAAGACCTAGGCTCTAGATCATTTTCGCTTTTTTTTTAAATTCAACTCACAATTCTCCGACGATGGCCTGATAACTGTATTATTCGTAGTTCTGCTGTTACTTTCAAAACAAGCTTTGTCCGAGTTCTGATTAGTCATGCCCGTCATCAAGACCTATCAGTAAAACGTGACATGACTCCCACCGAAGTGAGTTCTGCGTGTGTCGGGGACTGTTGACGGGGTCAATTTAAGTTCATGCACACTGGCTGAAGCATCTTTCGGGACTTATCCAGGGTGGGGGCGTGTAAAACACTTAAACTAGGAGCGCTAGACGTGATACTTCAGGATTTTAAAAAAAATAATGGTAAAACACACACAGGCACCCGTATGCGCGCGCGACACACACACACACACACACACACATATCTCAGGAAATTTCTAAAGTCAGTTTGGCAGTGACCTTGGAGATTTGTCGTTGATCCCAATTTTTTTTCACCAACCCACTGGGATCCTGACTTTTAGATTTCATAGATTGGCAGTGGCAGGTCTGATTTTCTTTGTGTATTAATACAGTCGGAATAGACCCTTTTTGTTTGTCAACTTTATTTTATTTTTGATTGGCTCAACCACCACCCTTCCCCCCTCCAAATGGACACAACTCTAATTGTAGTCAATATTATTTGCTGTTACAATGCAACAATAAGTTAATTAAAAATCGTTAGCATTCAATCATAGTAATGGTCACTCTGTGTGTGTCTGTGTGAATGTGCATGCAAGTTTTTAAAAGTTTACATGCAAAAATTCTTACTCTATAAAATTAGGAGATAATTGACTGTTGTGTTACCCTTTAAGTTTCTAAAACCAGGGTTTAAATACCCCTTAATACAGAGGACCAAATGGTGAAGGAACCTCTTAAATCGGTCTGAAAAGGGGAGCCCTGTGTCAACCGTTTCAATTTTAATTCAATTTAATTCAAATTCAAGAGCTTGTGTTACATGGGTGCCCGTTCCACGGAAGAAGATTGCAACATCCGAAGATCTCTACAACTGACTTCGCTTCAAAAGGAGTTGACTGTATTAGCAACAGTCTTGTCTTTACTTTATTGAACTGCAGTAGATATCTATAATTATTTAAATATTAGATCTAGATTCTATTTGATTCTACTTTAACTCACCAGAAGCAGACAGGACTAACTCCTAACGTTACTCTGCTGTGACTGTGCTTTTGGACTTTGACAGGACGGTACAGTGCAGAAGCCTTGCATTTTATACTGCGGTACAATTATTATGTCAACTCACCTGCACGGCAGAGCAAGTCTATGTTACGTTAAATGACCTCAGAAAATGCTGAGTCAATAGTAGGCCTCACAACTGAGAAATTTAAGCAAATTGATTCATCATCGTTGAACGTGAAAAATCAAAGTTGTTATTATATTTTCAACTTTGACCCTTGATGTGATATTATTGTGTACTTTGACCCGATTCGTTTCTTTTTCACTTCACTTTTTTCTTTTTCATTATACATTGCAATGGTGTTCGATTCGCTGTCTAACCTACGACATGCACGTAGGCCTTACACTTGTCTTTTGTAATAATGTTCGGCTTGCCTTTAGATAAAAAATATGAGATACTCGGAAACACTAAAAGCTCAGATCTTGGTACCCGGCCTATTAATTCTACCCCGGCCCAGAATCACAGACTGATTCATCAGCATGACTCGACAGTATTTTAGGCCTACACAGGTGCTTGCCAAACTTTTATTTATATAGTATCGCCGGCGCCTCGTTTTGCCCCGACTTTACGAGGCAAAAATTTTCTCTCCCCCCCCCCTCTCTCTCTCCTCTCTCTCTCTTTCTCTCCCTGTCCCAGTGTGTCTGTCTGTTTGTCTGTCTGTCTGTCTCGAATCTGTGTCTCTCTCTCTCTCACACACACACACACACACACACACACAGGCAAGCGCACGTGCGCGCGCACATACACCCACAGCAACAAAAACACAATCATCCGAATACACACAGAAGCCCACGAACATACATACGCCTATAAATACATGATGTATACACACACACACAAGTGTGTGTGTGTGTGTGTGTGTGTGTGTGTGTGTGTGTGTGTGTGTGTGTGTGTGTGTGTGTGTGTGTGTGTGTGTGTTACCTGAAAGGGAGAGATCGAAAGAGCTAGAGAGAGAGCAACGTAAAGTCAGGAGCAAACCACACCAGAATACCTGCCAACCACCCACGTTCCCATTTCCCATCATAATCTTTCGACAAATCACATACAAGGGGGGATTTCACAGTACAATTGCATTCATTTATTCATGTGTGAAAACAAAGGCGTTGAGCAAAATACGAGATCAGAGAGAAATATAATAATGTGATAATATTTAAACAAAGGACAAATTAATCCCAAAACCGGAAAATCTTAAAAATGGCCTCCCAAAACACATTCCCACAGACTGAAATTAAGTGAAATAATCAAAATCGTTATGTCTAAATAAAAGCAGAGAACAATTTAAAAAAGAAAATAATCAAAGAAGAAAGCTTTAATAGGACGAACCTAAAGAGTTCCATCAATCCCCGACAGTGACAGGACCGAGCCAAATGGGAGGGAAGGAGACCCTAGAAAACTCCTTGAAGTTCAAGAAAAAATCTATAAAATAATTTCCCATCTTGGGTAGGCCTATTATGGATTAAAATGTAATGGCCATGTGTACATCATAGACCAGCATGATACAAACATATAAACTGAGCTAATTGGTTTGATTTTATAAATTGTAGGTGTTTGTCTATCCCCTAATGACACAATTTAGATCATTTAGGAGGCGGGCTTTTGACACTGTCAGGGCCGATCCAGGCTGAGAGCGGTTCAACGTCCCACCAGAAAGACAGAGAAACTAAAAAAAATGTTCTCCCAACTCTGGAATCGAACCTGGGTCTCCTGAATAGGACAGGAAAGCACCTAACGGGTATTTCAAAGAGGCCAGTGAAGAGAATTGTGAGTCCATTGTGACGTCAATAGGACACAGAAGAAGACGCCCATACAACCAGGAGAATCAACTGGTCCTCTTGTCACTTTCCAACAGGAAAGGCGTACAACAAATCATATTTGTGTCAGAAGCTGATTTTTTTGGGGGATAAAAAAGCACTGCATAAGGGCAAGACAACACATGAACTTCAAAAGTATGTGGTAAAGAAAAATAAAACACAGGATTTTCATTGCCAAATACATGTATGTTGACGCCTTGCTCATCATAGTCATATGGGTAGAGATATATAGATAATATAAGTCCTATTTCAAATAATAATTATAATAAAAAATAGCATATGTATAGCACACATCCCCGTTCTATGCGCTTTACAATGTAATATATTACTACCTCAGCAGACACTAAAACACTCCTGGAGCTTCCTAGGAATCATACAGTGCAGACTGAGGACTGCATGCACTCAAACAGTATCAATCTGACAAAATATAGTGTAAAAAATCTTTGGGTGCGGTAAAACTGCAGTCTCTTTGACTCTGATAAATGTCACATGGTGAGGTGGGTTTGACATTCAATTCAACATTAGAAGATTATCCAAAAGACGAGACTTCAGATTTAAAAGTCTGTTTCGATAAAACTGTTCAAATTGATATTGTCTATCAAAAGGAAAGAAAAACAGCTTTTTCTCCTAAATTGAGTTTTTTACATTAGAGAAAGAAAACAAAATACTAAATAAAAATTGTAAAAGACCAAAGCCTACCAGTTACATTTTCTGGCCATAACATACATTTCAAAAGTTCAATATATACACTGTTCTATGATTTTCTTTCTATTGTGCTCTTTTATGAAAACGGTCTTCCACTCAAGTCTTTTTTCATCCTGGTCTTCAAATGTCCTGAGAAATATGGTACCTCAATGCGTCCAAAAGTAATACCAGTACAATATTGTACCGGGTTATATTTAATGAACACGTGCTCAGAAGAATGACAGAACCATAGCACCAGTAGACTCTGACAATATAAGCAAAAATTAGGGCTGGGGGGAGCCAAACAAACAACAACCCAACAAAGGATGGCCAGTAGTACTGGAATACTCAAAAGAATGAAAAGAAAAGAACTTTTTAAAACTTCTGAACATTCTGGTTACGCCAATGTGTACGGAATTATCATTCCCAGTACTTATCCTGTTTATGTCATGTATGAATGCTCATCTTCCGCTTTGTGCACTTTCACGAGTGGCTGTTTGTCGATTCACAGCAGATATAATTTTTCTTCAAATATTGTTTTAAAGATGTTATTTAGCCAAATGAACAACGAAGAGTGAAGAGAAATTGTCCTATCAAATCAATAGATGACAGACTTAAATTGATAGAAGAAAAGGTAATTCCAGAAGGTAAATCTTTTTTTTTTTTTTATAGTAGAGGGTTTTACAGCGCTCGCAACTGCATAAGGTCATATGAGCGCCAAGGGGTGGGTGTCAACAGAGAAGTCTTTACAGGGAATCAGACTTAGACTGCTCACCTCTCTAGCTTCAACAGCACAAGGTCTGCTTCGACTATCAAGGCACCCCAAAATAGAAGGTCACAAGAGAGTGACAAACATACAAAATAAGTAAAGGAAAATGACAATAGTAAGGATCAGGAAAGAAAAAACAGCAGTTCCCTGTTGTAGATCAGGCACAGTTATGAGCGTGACATGAGTCAGCCCATTTACAATTCTACTATGCTTGAATGAGAAATGTCACCCCTTTGGAAATGGCCTAAAGACACTTCAGTCAGTGGCATTGCCCCGGGGGGAAGATTGTAGTAGGTAAATCTGTCAACGATCAACTGGCGGTTGAACAAGTCTTACCCGATGCTAGATCTAGCCATGAAGACGGTCCCACAGACTATCAAAAAATGGGTGCCTCCAATCGTGGTATTCAGACTGATGTACAGAGGGAGTTTGAAGGTTTGAGAGACAGTTTGTTGAAAGTAACTATGCCCCCTCATTTAAAATTGAAAGAGTCATCCTTCGGGATTTAACAAGGGGCAAAGCCTACTCTCAAAATAATATAAAAAATGGCTCGCTACGCCGAGACTGCACTACGTCATCTTTCAGTTCTGTCTACACGTCAAAGAGACGATAATGGATTCTTTTCCCCCACAGAGGAGGATAGGAGGGCATTCTACACTGTGTTACCAGCACAACAACAATTTCTTCAGGCAGAGTATGCAGCCCGCCCTGGTCGTAAAAAATACATTTGATGACGAGACATCCAGACTGTACCGGTCCTCCAAGAATCACTCGTCTGCCTTCAATAATTCTTCATTGAACAACCTGAGAATTGCAGCGGACCTGGCAGCAGCTAGAGACCGGTTGGTCGCTAACTGTGGGTACCACCGCCCAGGCAGTCGCAGATTCCAACAATTTCGTTCTAGTGGTGGCCGCCAGTATAGATTCCAGCGGGGTCGGGGACCTTACACCTCTGATTTGATGTCACCCGGAAACAGAAAGGGTGAATGCACTTTTTCAGGACAATTGGACATTAGAAAACAACTTTGTCAATCTTCCCTTCCGACTATTATCCAAAGTGTTGACACACATAGAAAAAAACCTCCCAAATTGTGGTATTGATTATGTTCTACAGCCTTTGGATGGATGTTGGTTTGGAAGGAACTCGTGAATGTGTGCAGGTGCGGAAGTAGTAAGGCTTAACTTGTATTAATTTGTTTACTGATAAAAAATTATATAGTACACTGTGGCGTACCTTATGTTTATTAAAATCTATGTTAAAGAAATTAACAGCCAGTTTTGATCAACATGGATTGTTTTTTGCACTTCTAAGATGGTGTATACATTTCTGGCCTTACAAATAAGGACTGCTTACATGAAAATAACCTCAAAATCATTAAAACACCCCATAATCAAAGACTTGAAACCTAATGAAGGGACAAAATATATAAATAATGAGAACAATTTTACACCTCTTTCGAATCAAACTGATTGTTAAGGTGGCATGATATGCACTCCATTCAAGGAGACAAAAACTTCACAGTCCATGAAATCCTGTCTAATACAATGGATGGCTGGGGTTGAATCAAAGAGGATGGAAAAGAACTCTGGTCATGGCAGGATGTAAGTACAAGCATAAGTATACTAGATCTTCAGCCCTTTATATAGTCTCGTTTCAATTAAGTAGATGAAAACAAAGACTACATACACCCCCCAGTACATCACCTGGCAAAAAATCACAAAACAACGCAACAACAACTACA